GAAAGAGAATCTGGTGGTGGCCAAGGGGTTTTGCAGCGTGTGATGGACTTGTGTCTGACTCTTTCAGGTTGTGAAATACTGGCCCGAGACAGGGAAATCTGGATTTTTAGTGTGGCGTTACTTGCTTCGGAGGGATGATGAAGAACCTGCTCCTTGGACCAAAGAAGGAAAGGATAGGATGAAAAAGCTTGGGCTAACGATGCAGGTACCCTTGGAATGCTGTCGTGGTTCCCCCGGACAATGACCTTGGTGGATAGGGGGAATCTTCCCACTGTACATTCGTACTGAGGATGATCCTTGCATATGAGTAGAGGCAACCCCCTGTAGACTGAGAGGGGAACAAGTGCTTTTAGTCTTGTGGGTGGTTTGGTTTCTGTCTACATCAGGAGGCTGAACAGACAAAACTCTCTTTACAGGGTTTCTGTAGCCTGAGTAAGAGCTCTGCAAGAGCAGGGTCTGGCCCTTAAAACAGTGCGCCCCTGGAGTGCTTCTCCAGAGGCTGTTTTTCCCAGCCCTGATAATCCGTAAGTCTGAACTGGCGTCTTTGCATTGGATGCTTTTTGGTTTGTGTTTTCCTGTAGTATCCTGAAGGGTATTTGGAAGCTGTTGCAAACAAAGATAAGGAAAAAGAAAATAATGGAGACGACAAGTTTGATACCCCAGGGAAAGGAAAGAGGAAAAGGAAATCAGCAGGTTTGTGGAGTAGGCAAGTGGATATAGAAAGCCTCGTTTGTAGGTTTTTGTGCGTTTTACCTAGTTCCTCTTTTCTGGTGGTTTAGCCCGTTTAAAAAGTCACTGTGCTTTCTTTCAGGTGGGGAGGAAAAACCACTCGCCTCTCCTGCAGGGACTCCAAAGAAAACTAAAGTTGAGCCATACAAGCTGACAACCCAGCAAAAATCTCTCATAAAAAGCGATGAAGCCAATGAAAAACTGTGGAATGAAGTACTAGAAGCTCTCAAAGATGGACCGGTAGGTGATGCCTTTCTCCCAGGAACAGTGGCAGCTGGTGGTGCTGTCCCTAGCCACCAGCCTCTCGGCTGCATCACGGACCTATAGTGCTGCCCTAGTGCAGCCACCCACAGCGCAGTTGTAACGCTGTTTGGGGTCAGTAAGAAGACAGTTACCGCAGCTCGTTGAACGTGACTGTCTCTCCCTTGTGAAGCTCTGTAGAAACGTTCTACGACTGCAGTAATCCCCTGTATTTAATGGGGGGGAGTGGGGGTGGCTGTATCTTTCAGAGTAGCACTAAGTTGATTCAAATGTTCTCGTTACAGAAATTTCTAAACAAAGTCGAAGAGGCCTTCCTGTGTATTTGCTGTCAGGAGGTCGTGTTTCGGCCAGTCACGACCGTGTGCCAGCACAATGTCTGCAAGGTGCGTAGCCGAGGCAACCCCTCTGCTGAGCCAGCGAGTCTTGAGCTGGCTCGTTTGGTGGCGAGAGGTGGGGGCCTGGGTCTGTGTTCGGGGGTTTGCCAGTAGTTAGTGGGCGAGCACAAGTCAGGTTCAGACGTTAAAACGTTGTGATTTGGTACAAGCGCTTTGGCACTGAGAAGTCTGCGCTTGAGGGGAAGTTGTGCTATGGTACTGCTGCTATCTGATCCTTCCAGGAGATGAGGAGAGCGTCTCTGCGGGCTCAGCGGTGCTGCTCAGTGACACCGGTACAGCCTCTGCGGGGCTCGGGTGTCTTGTCTGAGTGATGTGAAGTGGTTTTGCTCCACCAGCTGCAGGGGAGTTCTTGATCTTCAGAGATGTCACCGAATGACACGTCTCCCGTACACCTAAATACAGTGTCCGTGACAGGCTCCGTGCCCCGCTGCTGTGCGGAAGGAAGGCGCCTTCCCTCCCGCCGCCAGCCCCGCGCCGCGCTCTGCCTCTCGCCCCTTCTCAACGCCTGGGCCAACTAGGGCACAGGAGCAGCCTCACCCTCCGCTGGGGCTTGGGGGAGTAAGCTGAATGCGCCTCTCTTTCCTGACCAGTTGTTACTCTGTCCTCCCCCAGGACTGTCTGGACAGATCCTTCAAAGCCGACGTGTACAGCTGCCCGGCCTGCCGCTACGACCTCGGCAAAAGCTACACCATGCAAGTGAACGAGACGCTGCAGAGCGTCCTGACTCAGCTCTTCCCCGGCTACGGCAACGGGCGGTGATTCTGTAAAGCACTTCTGATCGAACAAAAAAAACTTACTCTTGAGTTTTCAGTGGGCTTAATTTTTGAAAAAAGAAAAAAAAAAAAGGTAGTTTGTTTGCCCAGACCCCTAAAAATTTTGAGGTCTTCCTTGTTTTTAAAAAAAACTATAAACTTCAAGAATTATCGTTCTGTACGTTCATGGGTTTTGTTTCTCTTCTGAATGCTGAACTTTGCATCCCCCCTCCTCCCCCAAACTGCCATTCATCAGCACAGAATTCAGTTTTGGTTTAAGGGATTTCCAAAGTGCTTCCGGTAAGGCTGCTAACAATTACGAAAGTTCTCAGTGTCCCCCTTGCCCTCTTTTTTTTTTTTTTTTTGGTATCTTTATTCCTGAAAATGGCTTGGTTGCTAGAACAATCTTCAATCTCTGGGGATGTGGCCGCAGACTTGTGCATCACCTTGGCAGCATTTCAATGCTCGATTCGTACAAGAGGGTTCCTGGCTTACGACCCTGTTATCAAGTGGATATTTTAAAGAACTGGGTTGGGGTTTTTTTGTATACATTTGATAAACCTATCAAAAAACCGTTTCCTGCTAATTTTGTGTATCGAAAAACCACAAAGCTGCTTGCGTACAGGCAGGTAGTTGGAGCAATATGAAGTACTACCTCAGTTGGACTTCTCTCTTACTAGGGAACTGTTTGTTCAGCCAGGTGCTGTCTCTGATCCAGAAACGCCATTGTGGAATAGACTAAAGCCATTCTTAAGTGCCTTTTGTCCTTTGCTGAAAGACTGGGCTCTGAATCACCAGATTTATGTATCTTCCTTAAGCACTGAATCGTTTCAACTTGCCAGCCGGATTCTAGTCTCTGAGCAACCCGTAACGCTGTAGGTGTCTGTGACTAGCGTGGATTCGCACGCGTTCCGGTCTCCTCCCGACGCTAGGTGTATGAGGGCAACGCGATCGCTTTCCATTCTGCCTGTTGTATGTGTTGGCTTTTGGACTGGGTTGTCTTTTTCGCACATTCCCAAAGTTGGCAGTTCGGTACCTCAACAAGGCAGGATTGGTTTGAATCACACTTGACTGCAGACAGATTGGAACAAATGTGTCTATTTTTGGTATTCTTAACTCTTACCCTTTTAAAAATAACCTTAATATGTTAGGGGAAAACAAAAACCCCACAAATGATTTATGGGGTTTTTGCTGAATCTGTCAATTTTTTGTACAATGTGCAAGTTGAAGTTCTCAAAATAAATATCTTTTCAGATGAAAGTGGTGACTCTTTTAATTCTTTTTAGCTGAAGCAGGTTTCCAGACCTAACTGCTTGGCCAGGAATCTCTTTACGTTCCGTCGTGCTCAGCCTTTTATTTCCTAGGGCCTATTATTTTCATTATGGTTTTTCACTACAAAGAAATTGGGGGGGGAAATACCAATTTTGATATTCTTGTGTTCAGAATATTTGCTTCTAGGGACTAGTGAAAGGCCTATGTTATGTTCAATTAAAAAACTCCCAAACCAACCCACAACAAAGCTGCTTTTTGGGGCATAACTTGCGTTAGCCTTCTGCAGTGCTACAATCCACACGGCAGCTGGCAGTTGGAATTCCCTGCAGGCTTGGCCGGTGAACCCCAAACGGTCAGAGCTGCTGTGCCACCCCTCGCTGGAGGGGTCCTCAGCAAGTAGCGCCAGCACCTCCGACCTGCCAGACCAGAGAAACGCACGACGGCACGGAGGTTTTCAGAAGCCAACGCCGGTAAGGAAACGCTGGAGGGGTCCTCAGCAAGTAGCGCCCGCACCTCCGACCTGCCGGACCAGAGAAATGCACGACAGCACGGAGGTTTTCAGAAGCCAACACCGGTAAGGAAACGTGGGGGAAGGAAAGGAGGAAGACTTAGAGGTGTTGCAGACGTTGAAAACAAAAGCTGTGTGACTGCTGCTTAATCTGCCCTCTAAAAATGTCAACACTAACCTTGAATGCTTTCAATTTCAGGTGTTTGGAGCCCGTTGACCATGTCCTGCTGCTTAATGTATACAGGAGAAGAATTTGGGGTGAGTGAAACTGAGGAAGTGTGTGTGTGTGTGTTTAAACTGGAAGAACCTATTGCAGGAACCTCCTTGGTATGTTGGTTTTGTCGTTGTTTGGAAAACAGCTTTCCTACATGGGTTTCAGTGTACTGTTCCCAGTGTCAGTGGGTGTTCAGCGTGAACTAGAATGTCTCTGCAAGTAACTTGGGCTTTGCAGGTCTTGACAGGACGCTCTGCCAGGAAAATGACTGCTCTGAGGGGAGCTGGTGTGTGAAGGGGTTGTGTGTGTGAACGGTAGAGGGTATTAGAATCGTAGAATCATTTGGGTTGGAAGGGACCTTAAAGCCCACCCAGTCCCACCCCCTGCCATGGGCAGGGACACCTTCCATAGCCCAGGTTGCTCCAAGCCTCATCCAGCCTGGCCTTGGCCACTTCCAGGGATGGGGCATCCACAGCTTCTCTGGGCAACCTGTCCCAGTGCTCCCCACCCTCTCCGGGAAGAACTTCTTCCTGATATCCAATCTAAACCTCCCCAGTTTCAATTTAAACCCATTACCCCTGGTCCTGTCACTACAGGCCCTTGGGAAAAGTCCCCCCCAGCTTCCGTTATTAGTCCGTATTAGTAGGGTGCAGCTTCGTTTCCCATACGAACTCGTGTACATGGATGTAAATTGTGCCGTAAATATCCAGTATGTGACTCGGTGAAATAAGCCTTTGGCGGATAAGGAATTTGGAAGCAAGAATTAGTGTTGCAAGAGAACAATGCAAGGATCTATCTTCTATTTTGGGAATTCCCACCTCGTTTCCCAGCAAGTGTACGGAATCTATGGTCTGCACAGTTTAATTGAGCACAAATTAAAAAATGCCCCTGGTAGTTCTTCATCCTGGCAGGCTTCCACGGTGCTGTAATTGCAGCCAGTTTGGGAAGAGTTATCTGTTGTGTGGTGGTGACGGCTGCTGGATGCCAGGAGCCAGCGGGAGCTGAGGGTACAGGTACTCACAGCGACCTGTAGCATCCCTGAAGGAGAAGGGGGGAGCTGCAGCTCTGGGTCAGGTTCTCTGGCAACAGGATGGGCCCACCCTGTGCCCCAAGCGGGGCTGCCACGACGGCACGGTACTGCGGTATCGTCTGGGGGGGAAACTGGGGTAAGTGCAGGTAAATGCTGCTGCTTTCAAAGAATAAACCGAGGGGAGAGACAGGTCAGTGCACTGTCAGTAGCTGATGTTGACTCCAGAGCTTTGGAAAGAGGGTTCCTGAGAGATGGGAGCTACGCTGCTCCCCCGGTACGGAGTCGGTGAGCATTAACAGCTCAGCACCTGGATTATCTTTGTGTGGCTGTTCCCCTCAGGTGCTGCGGTTCCTCGGGTCCCTCTGGGGCTGCTCCTGCGGGGGATGCGTAGACATGGGCTGTATCCAGAGAAGTGTGGCCAGCAGGTCAAGGGAGGGGATTCTGCCCTTGTACTCTGCTCTGGTGAGACCCCACCTGGAGTGCTGCGTCCAGCTGTGGAGCCCCCAACATCAGAAGGATATTGACCACTTGGAGCGAGTCCAGAGGATGCCACGAGGATGCTCAGAGGGCTGGAGCACCTCTCCTATGATGAAAGGCTGCAAGAATTGGGCTTGTTCAGCCTGGAGAAGAAGAGGCTCCGAGGAGACCTCATTGCAGCTTTCCAGTATCTGAAGGGGCCTACAAGGGTGCTGGGAGAGGACTTTTTACAAGGGCCTGTAGTGACAGGAC